ATTGCATTGGTGGGCAATCGCACGCGAGATGGTCGTTGTGCTTCGGAGGTTTGCTTGAGGGACTCCGCCCGGAGCCTTTGGCTCAATAGCCTTACCCACAAGGCAGTGGGTGATTTGGAGGTTTGCTTGAAGGACTCCGCCCGGAGCCTTTGGCTCAATAGCCTGACCCACAAGGCAAACGGGAGCAGATCCAGCTCTGGAATGTGATTGCAGAGACAGATTGGGATCTGCTTGCAGCCTTGGACGTACTGGAACGGTGTATATATGTTTTGCGACTGTAATAAGATAAACCTGCGACCACGGCCAAACGCAGGTGGGTTTTGGCGGGTTTGCACCAATTTGACCAGGGGCTGCCTGGCTTGAGGCGGGCAGTAGCAAACCATTGAACACCCGGAGGTGTCCTCCCACCGTTAGAGACAATGCGTGGCACTCGTGCTCTACGCCAATCGAGATGTGAGCTTATAACCCGTAAACATGTTGTCTCCCATGGCTAGGTTTTACGGGAAGAGGGTCATCGATCACTTCCTAACCTCCAAAGAGGATGGATTAGGATACTGGCAGGGCGCCCACACTTGACAGGAGAACGACTCGGGTCCTCAGCCAAAGCCTTCGATTAAATGTAAACCCGAAAGGCAGCGGGTCTAGCACATGGTCAGTTCACTGACTCATGCGGATTGGTGTCCTGGATCCTAGCAGGGAGAAGGGCGAAACCCAACTCAAACCCAGCGGTCGCCACGACGAGGCGTCCAGAACACGAGCCAATGGCGCAACAGTAGCAGCATTGTGTAGATCATCGATCAGAATCTAGCCACCGCCAGCCTCAGCGCACCACAGGCTCTCCTGCCTCAATATATATATATATATATATATATATATATATATATATATATATATATATTCGTTTCTGGTCAGAAACAACTGTAGATGAATGTGATAAACCCACCACCTAATGAACACTGGTCTGCAACTTGCTCTACCTGCTTTCGTTGTGTGACACATAGCCCAATATTTCGTGCACTTGGCAGCCATTGCTGTTATCCCAATTCAAGGCATCGTATGACGTCCTTGAATGTGATGCATGACCAAACATGAACAGATGTCAGTTGATTCTCATTGGTTTCAAATATTCCTTCTAAGCTCTTCCTGGATGACAGCTTCAAACTACCACTCTTTATCGATACATTATGAGCACTAATCGCCTGTATTGCCCTTTCTACATTGTAAAAAGTTATTTGTTCCTTTACCTGGTACGCTAGTAACATTGTAGTTTTGATACAGGTTATTTTGTTATAAATTTTGTTTGGCGACTGATTGATGACCAAATCCTCGTAGTTGCACCTACTCTCATTAAAATTCCATTTTACCCTTTTGGAGGTAATTACCCCCAAGTTGATGACCACGGATGTAGAGTAACGGTGCACACAAATGAAAACTACAGGGGATCCACTGACAGGTGCTACGCTGTTGACACACTTAATTTGTTGTTTCTCTCGCTTTGTCTAAGAGGCTTGTTAAGTATGTGATTAGTTTCTAATATTAATAATACGTATATTTCTCGATTGTACAAGTAGGTATCCCTGAATTGGGGACAGATCATGAGTATAATAATGTTTATGTTCATGCATAAGTGAGATTGGTATTCTGAAGTGAGTGACATTAAAATATTTCGGAATCACATAACTCTTTTGTTTCTGAGCTTTGTGTACCATCTTTTCACATTGATTATATATTTCTTGGTCCATCCTGGAAAAACTCATTCGGTGGTTTGCCCGATGAAAACATATTCATTACCGAGTTCTGGCCCAGGAAATGTCTAAGTTGAATGAGGAATGTCCTTGCAGCATTTGTGCAAAACCTGATCGTGGGTGGTAGGTTATTGCACTGAATTGCTCCATTTCTTTACATGACAGCGTATCCGACGAGAAAGAAGTTGGATCGGATAGCTGTGCTGGCTCTTGGCACAGTTAGATACAGGTTTTGTGGTGTAGATTCCGAATGAAATCATGTTGCAATTTTAGTGTGCATAGATTGGAGTGTGTCTTTTGGTTTATGAGATTGTGTATCAGCATCAGGTTATGTTTCAGTCGTCGCAACCAAATGGGCTCGAGATTTAAGCTAATGGCAACGCTCCTGATAACAAAGGTGGACGATTTACTGAGTAAGCTTTTAGTTAATGACCTTTGCAAGTTTACCAAAGCTTTCCTGTCACCGATGCGCATGTTCCCATAAATGATGCTGCAGTAGGTGCCATTATCCCATGGTATCAAGAGTACGATCTGCACCGTGGTACGCAATTCATTGTTGAAACTGGAGGTGACCAACTCGCATCCGCAGTTGAAAACTGGTTTATGTGCCTAGCATCACATATCTCGTTTAAACCTATAGAACAGAAAGAGATCACAGAAGAAAAACTGTTGTTTTGAATCTCCGCCTCTTGTCTGTTATATAGGTGCGAGAGTGGTACTTTTTAGGTATCTCTAGACAGTAGTAACAAGAAATTAGTAAAGCAGATTAACAACTGGTGAACAAATTTCCATAATTTACTGATCCCTGAAAGGGCTCTGTCATAAGACGTTGCATGCATCTGTGAACATGCAGTCGTTAGTATTCATTGGTATATGTAGTTAAGTGGACGGTAGCCTTAACGATAACAGGCCAACCTTGTAATCAGAGGGCGCAGGTTCGAGTCTGCTTGGGGTCAGGACGACCCTCGCAGTATCTTCAGCGCACGTGTGACCGGTGATAGTTGAGCGGCAACGAAGCGTCGGTACTGCGTACCGGGGTACTGCCGACGCCTTCTAGATAAACGTATGTGTGTTCAGTATCACCTATACTTTTCTCATAGAAACCAACGTGTTAGTTAATTGGCTGATAGGTGTAGACCTTTCTCCATAAATACCAAGATTAATAACGACTCGCAACCCAAACAGATAGGACTCCGCCACTGTAGTTTATCAGGATAATAAACTGATCATACAAAATACTGTGCGGCACATGAGCCCGGGTAGTCCAAGACTGTTTAAAACGCTACCGCGTGATGATGGAAGACAGAATACAACCAGAGAAACAGTCGAAAGGTTATTAAACTGATGTAAAGAGTACCATCAGTAACCATGTGCGGGTGTTGCAGTCATCTGCGGAGTATATGTCTGGAACTTGTGCGTCATCTGTAACTGGGAGAAACACACACACGCTACCTAGTATACGTCTGTGTCAGTGGGAACAACAGGAATGTTAAGAAGGACAAATTTGTTTGAAATCGGTCAGGATCGGCACAAACAAAGTGTCACGGAACACTGTAATGAACATAAAAAACGTATACACCAGTACCCGGCGCACACTGCCTGATATGTGCAAAAATGAAACCAGGTTGATTTGCTTCATGGTTCTTTAACTAGACACAGAAGGCACTTGAGATGCGAAGTGGTTATGCACGCGGAATGGCAACTATTGGATTTTCTCATTATGGCCATTTCTGTTGACATAAACCGTGACAGATTACGTGTCCATCGTTCAGGACACAACCACGAAAATGTACATATTAGCCACTTTATGTGATAAACACGCGCGTGTACACATCAAGAATGCAACTCGAACGTCGAAATGCATCACACTAGGCGGGTCACCCAGCATCAGGGGCAGATTGGCCTCTAAACCACTAGGACTGTGTGGCATAACGCATCAGCGCTGACCAGTTATAATCGTCGCGCGTACACACCGTAAAATATATCTAAGTGTATCCTTCACTGCAAACCGAAAATGCTTATCTCTGGGTAAATTCCAGAGTACGTAATAATCATTTCCGCTATCTCGTGTTATGGGAACAGCTGGAGCCATCGCAGATATTTGAACGAGGCTACATAAGGTAAACAGATCACACTCTTCATGGCCAAGTTGTAACTGACCCGTTACTGCAATTTTGCCGGCTCTCCTTCATGTTTGATGGATCCCAACAAGGTGACATGACAAACATGCATGGTCACACTGCGTCGTATACATGTGCCTCACCTTGGACGCGGCGAATCACTGGATCGAAGTCACATTTTGTTCAACCGTGAATTCCGCAGTGCTCAGGCATACAAATGCTGTATTTTAGCTATCGAATCCTGTTTGATAGTTCTAGCTTCCCTCATCAAGTAGACTCTCATAGTTCTTATGTTAGCCGTCAATATTTCCACCTTATTTATTTGCATCAAAGCTGATGAGTAATAACTACCATGTTGACAGGAGTAAACGCAACTGATCTTCCCGCAAATCGCTGCCTCTGCGGGCGTAGTTGAGTAAATGAGTAAACACTGTGCTGGTAGCAGCATAGCAGAAAAAACGGCCCACATGCAGTCGTCAAATAAGGTGCGGCAGCCGATAGGAAAATTACCCCAGTTCGAGGATAGTAAATTAAAGAATCACTTTAGTATGAAAACAAAGAAGCCGACGTTGAAAATGGAGAGTCTGATCACCTTTTTGACCACTAGGTGATAGAAGCATGTACTCTCATCTAATTGTAACTAATTGGAGGTATCAGCACCTCACAAACCAGATACTCCGACCACCAATCTGGTGAGGTACCAAACGACCGTTTCGCCCTAATGGGGCGCGTCGGTGGTGCATATTCCCTCGGGCCACTTCGGGGAACCTAACCCAAGACCGCTAACAGCGTGTCACTGAACCATGGGGAAGGTAACGGCATCACCTGCAAGCTATCTGAAATACAGAGCGAGCTATCCTTTACTACCACGCATGTTCCTATCAACGTAGAGGACAGTGACTAGTCTTCAGAGGTCATGACTGCCACTACACCGCAGCAGGGTGAAACGGCTCTCTAAACTGCCTGGACGGTAAAATTGCACTAAAATCCTTCTACTCATGAGTAATTGGTTGTCACAACGATTTCAGGTCAATTTTAATCTGGGAAACTGGCAAGGTTTGACCACTATAGAATCTTGCAAAGCATAGTGTTTCGTAAATGATCTGCTGCTACAGTTTGTTGCATGTTATCCTAGGTACGCACTGCAGAGAACACAAATGTAAACCGCAGTGGTGTCGTCACTTGACAAGCCGTCTACATTTCAGCTGAATCACTGGGCCTCATCCTCGTCTTGACGTACGGGAACTGACTGAGGATGAGTAGAAAAGGTGGCCTCAGTCTCCCGCACAAGCGAAAGGAAGTCAGTCAGGACAGATTGAAGCAACTGGTATCAGAACTGCGTGAAATGGCCACAAGCAGACACGCTCCTTTACCAAGCGAACCTGATTATTTTACAAATGAAAAAACGTAAGTCCAGCTTGGCTTCCATTTCACATATTTACTCAATGTTTGTCATGTGGTCATGTAACCGGCGTAACTTTTGTGTCTACTCTGCATTCACTTAATGAAGATACTGATCGTATGCAAATGACAACATAACGCCGTAGGTAAAGACTGAGGATCGATCAAACCTGTGTTCGAACTTCAAGAAATCATGTAGGATGTATAAAGAGTTGCCTCGAGAAACCGCTCAGTTACTGTGGCCCATTTAGGTTTAAGATAAACTAGCTAGCTATGCATGACTAGTTTATGGTTGGCCAGCCAGTCTCACTTTCCTTAATATTTGCTCGTGGTAACACCCCGCTCCGGGTGGAACCGACCCCCTAATTGTCTACCAAACGCACGTGGATAAACTCAGATTGCTGGCTCATACACAAGGGTGTACGCGGATGGGTAGATTCTCACTGCCTCCAAGTCCGATCAAGTCACCTAACTTATTCGCTCTCGTCCCACTATTTCGTGCTGCGCTGCACGTAAACCATCAGGGGATGGACAGCTAGTGGCCCATAAAAGACAGCATCCGGTTAGTTGCCAATCCTGGCGGGGGGTAATTTCTAAATAGAGAAAGAAGCATGAAGAGAGGCGAATTGAGATCGCTTGCAGAAATTCATATGAGATTACAAGCAAGCCTGCTGGATGGCCGCAAAAGGGAAATGTAGGCTACACTGAATTAGATTGTGAGGACCTCGTCAACAAAGTACTTTATGCACCCCAGGATAGGTGAAATATTCCGCTGTAACACACATGCTTTCAGTGATGCAGCGATCCAAAAAGGTAGAGGAATACGGGGAAAACAGAATACCATCAAGGCGTAAATCGACTGGTGAATTTTCGAATGACCTTCTAAGGTATAGAAAAAATTGCACTAAACAAGGAATCATTGACGAATAGTCAGTTCGTGCTCCGGCACATATGGACTGGTTGATGAGGCCGACACACATGGAATGGGGTAACTTGTGTTGGTATGTTGATGCAAAGGTTAACATGAGTGGTCACAAGTATATGAGCAAAAATCGACTTGACAAACTGTTACATTGCGACACGTTTTTTTAACGATCTGCAGTCCTCGCTCAATAGACTAAGAAAAATCACTGGACAGCAGTACGTCCAGTGGTGAAGAACACAGGCATTGACAAAACGAAGTATCACATCATGCGGAACAGAGGAAGCTCGCAGGCGCGAGGTGTAGTACGATAACCTCCGAACTTTTGTGAACGTTTCGTTCATATGACGTAATCAGAATAAATCATAGTTAAGCTTGGTACCTACCTACTTCACAGAAATGGAGGAGTGCAATCCATTGCAATCGTGATGGAGTTCGGGGCACTGATTGAGAAGCTGTTGATACCGACCTCCACTATGCAGTGAAAAAAGCGACACCATTGCAGTTCGACAAGTTAAGCGGCAGCTCGCGGGATTTCGAGCAAAATGTTAGATCAGCAGAAATATCTTGTAAGCTAACTGAAGAGGCCGTGGTCCAATGATTGACGCATAATTCAGCAGTGTCGCATCCTCATGGATAGATAACGAGCTGGCAAAAGTGGAAAATAGATAGTGATGGAATGGATCACCGAATAACACCGGGGTTTGTGATTAGGGACAAGAAACTTCTGCTTCCAAGTCGGGTATGACCGTCGAAATAATCCCCGAAAACATGGACGATGAAAGGGAATATACGAGCACCAAGTAGATCTTACAAAAGTAATTCACGGTTTTTACACCGCCGAATGCGTTGTCGCAGTTCGGATAACACATTCAGGTGCAATTGATTATATTATCCAGCGACGACAGAACCGAATGCACAAGCCAGGATACTGCCTTTGCTACCATAACTTCGAGCACCACTAAATGTATGGAGGTGCAAAAGATCCAGTGTCACTGCGAACACTAGTATTTTAAATACCGAGTCAGGGATGGTGATCAGTTGGTGTTCCCTCCTAACCCGCGGTCTATGCTTGACAAACATTTGCATAGCAGATTTCATCGCCAGGATTACAATGTTATCCTGGCGGTGCTCATTGTCTATTCGTAAATCCATCACTGAATTTGCCCTTCACTAATTTCGGTTGCGAAACTGCCATCACTCATATCTTGACGATGACGCCTCGAATGCTGATGAAACGTTGGTAATAAATTGACCAGCTCGGCGGACACCGTATCTACTAAAGGCTACGCCTTCAAATTGCTGCTGTAAACTCAAGATTGATCGCCACTTGGGTAGGAGTCCGTGGTGGCCACCCTATCTCGTGGGTGACCAGGCATCCGAGGACCATTCACGGCTTTACCTGGGCTATCCGGTGGAAATGTCCAATATGAGATTAGAAGGTAGGATATTCTGGTAACCGAGTAACGATTTGACCACTATGCTACCTGAATCCCACTAGCAACGCCTGCAATGACGATAAAGGAGCTATCTCTGGACACGATGAGCACTGGATTTCGAACCTAACGTGTCCGGATTAAGGAATGCGACCTTAGCCGAAGCACCCTCAAGCTGGCAAATAGAATCTTAAGCGAAACATCGATAACGTTGATACAATTTTCATTCAAAATCGCACCACATTATTAGTTCCTTGTTTCTTTGGGGTTTTAAAGTTAAAATGGCAATCAACGGTCCGAATGAATAGCCCCACGGAGGGCCATCAACTTGACTGACTGGTGGCCTTCAAAGGCGTGAGTTGGTGAGTTGTCGTATATCGCACAACAACCGAACTTCCAACTGATATGAAAGTGGCACTCGCAGAGTAGGATGACCACATGTTTGAAGGTATTCACGTAGCAATCACAACTTCGCAAATTCGAGTCGTTGCCACATCATCAATATCTACCGAACCCAACCTTGCAGTGCGATATTAGCAAGCGACACAAGCACAAGTGTCCTCAGCACCAAGACAACTTGAGTGGTAAAGAGGGTAACACCTGGGTGTGAGTGATTCGCTACGTAGTCAAAAGAGTGCCCGTCCAATAGCTGCTTGACACTCAGCCTGCAGTAGAGAACACCATATAATCCGTATACTAAGCCACATTCGAACGTCTCAGTGGTATCCCCATAGCACATGCAAATTCGGGAGGCAACCTGCGCCAACATTTTCAATGTCGCACAATGAAAGCGATGTTAGCGTGCATTATTAGTCACTTGAAAAACAACCGCCGAGCATTGTTTTAGCGGAACTCAACTATCAAGTGGTGAATGCGTTATCCGTCAGCAATGATGCGTTGAGTTCCATCCCCAGTCCCTACTATGTCTAGCTGAATAGTACAAAGAATGGTGGAACTTGCAAATCGAAAGTAGTGTTAGGATGAACAGAATCTGAACCCTAGAGATGGGCAAGCGTTTGACGCGCAAGGGTGAGCCAATCGGTTACACAATAAGTAAGCTCATAAAACACAGGCTAGTCAGTGCCGATTTCCCTCGAAATCCGAATGTATGGGAGTAATTGTGTCACTAAAGACAACGGTGTGGCCTAAACAAAACGTAGCCGGGAGGCGCTGTACATGGTCAGGAAAGCAGTGTTCATCCGGATCGCTGGTGGGGATCTAGAGCTAAGGTGAGGTTGTTAGCACAGCCATATCCGTGAGCCGGTGGCTGAAACGCTCTGCATTAGAGCACACCCCAGAAAATATGAGATGGTAAACCAACAGCGGAACCCGAATCGAACAGTGGATTTATCACAGATATAAAAGCAAACGTTTAACTGTTTCCCGTAGGTAGAGGTGATGAAAAATAGTGTGTCAAAATAAAATTCCCAGCAAATTTCAAATGCACGCATCGTTTAGTTACGTTGTTGCGTGTTCCATTAACTTTGGTAACATCATGCAATTCAGATGGTGCAATGCATCACCAAGTCGAGATTTGAATTCAGACAATGTAGGAGCCGATGTGACAAATTGTGGAAGTAATTTATACGGTTGGAATACACGAAAAGAGAAATAGTTCCGGCGCCATTGTAACCGGCTATACTGTGTCGCCATCTTCGAATGATGGCCTCTCAGTGAGCTGTTATGGCTGTTTCAATATAGATCGGCATGGCTAGTTAGAGTTCTTGAGGATCAGATACACAAATAGGAGATCACCTCACAGCAGACGATATTCCACTAAAATCTCTCAGTGTCTTTAGTCTCGACTGATAAGGGAGGTGGAGCAACCCCTTCACATTTGTCGTCACCCTCCGTTGTGGCTTCTCACGAACAGTGAGGTCATGCTTTTACCAGGGGTGCCGCACCTGAACGGATTCTTCACATTCAACGTGTGATCTCACTTAAGCGTTGAGCAATTGCGGAAAGAAGGTAGGATCAACACAACCAAACGCGCTCCGCAGTAGGCCCAACTGTTGGCTAGCTTTTTTCATTGCCATCTCAGCCTGCTTTAAACATCCGAGATCGTCCTGCACAAGCACCCCGAGATCACTTTCATGAGAAGCACATTGCAGGATGTGTTCTCACAGTCATTATCGGTAGGTGCTCTGGTGGCGAAACCACATTAATTTGCGATTGGCAATGTTAAACTCAAACATGTTATGAGTCGACCATTCGTAAGCCCTATGGAGATCACCCTGAAGTGTTATTTTGTCGTCTGCTAGCTTGACCGCTCTCTGAATCTTGAGGTCGTCCGCAAAGAGTATGAAGTTCGAGATTAAAATTTCCGCAAGGTCATTCATGAACATGAGGAATAACTTTGGTCCCAGTACAGAGCCTTGAAGGACGCCACAATGAAGCTCTATCGGTTCGAAGAGGTTGGTACCAACCCACATTCAACCGTCCGTGGAGTAGGAATAAATGAATCCAACCTAGGTTAGGGTTACAGATCCCGTAGCTCCGGTTGTGAAGAAGAATCCGGTGATCAAGGCGATCAAATGCCTTCGAGAAATCAATGTAAGCGACGTCGACTCCTTCTCCAGCATCGACGGATTGCGTCCAGCTAGCACGGGCTAACAAAAGATTTGTGGTACATGAGCGGTTTCCGCGGAATCCATGCTACACTTGCACGATGATATCGCACCCTACTAAATATCTCATAAATATATCTGCAACGACAGATTCCATGACTTTAGTAAGTACAGGTAGAAGAGCAATCGGGGGTAGTTGGCCGGCATTGCACGATGGCCCCTTGTATGCTTCCACATTGTTGGGACCTGCATCTTGTTGAGAGAGCGCTGGAAAAACTGTAATAACGGTTCAGCCAAGCTCGTGGAGGCTACCATCAATGAGTTGGGGCGTATGCTATCCGGACTAGGTGAACTGTACTAGCGTAGTGACATCAGTCGTTTTAGCCCATCCGCTGCTTTTAAGGAGATGTGGTTAAGTCCTAGCGGCTAGGTTACATGTGTGAGAACGACATGAAACGGCGACGCATTCTAGAAAGTAAAATCGAACTGAGGTCTAAGAGCATTAGCTACTTCTTGGGCAGTTCGCACTTGCCCACAGACGGTTTAGAGGAGGAGTACCAAACTGTACTTTGCGAAGTTTGTTAACATACCTGGAAATTAGCTTAAGATTACAGCGAAACTTTTCGGTCCAATGTTGTTGACGTTTCAACTTGTATTTGCGGGCAAGTTTGACACAGTGGTTTTTCTCAGCTATGCAAGACTGTCAGTTTCCAGCGTTCGAATCGGAATTGTATGCGTTCCAAAGTGAATCTCTCAGGGCCAATCGTTTCCGTGCCGCTTCTCAGGAAAGACTTTAAATTTCCGGGATAAGCGTCTTAGCCTCTGATGCGTTTTCCACTGAAGCGTTGAACCGATAGAAAAACTCTCCACAAGCGACATCCGGGGAGGGGGTTCTGCTAGAAATGACCAATAAGTGGTCTTAATAAAGTCGGATATAGTGGGGTGGTTATTCTGATGGGATTGTGCAAGCAGAAGAATGAGACGGATTTACATGAGGAAGCAAGCGGCTAGACTGCAGCAAGCGAACAGAGCAGTTATTTGGACGTCTACGCATATTCGCCTATATGCTGATTGGTTCGTATTCGGCTACGCTAGAGCGGGTTTGTTCAGCTGATTCTAAGGGAGAATCTCATGCACGAAGCTACGTCGTTAGTCATGGAAGTGACCTACTTATTTACATAAAGGTTTTTACATGCTAGTTATGTTGTCGTTTTCGGTGAGCTCGTTATGCTGAATAAACCGTGTCATTAAAGTACAGAGTTATAACAGTGATAACCAGTATTGCGCGTAAGGGAGGAGAGAGACCGTTAAAAACAGCGTGACCATCATGTGATGAGACGCGCTTCGATAAAATTGTAAACAAATACTATGTGAATGACAGCGTTGTTATGAGATGCGGGATAATCTAGTGTTCACTGATTATTCCGAAATTCGGTAAGCACCCACGTGGGCAGTCCAAAATCAGAGTACAGTTAGGAAGTGGCTTGGCATCACACAATAGTTAAATGCAGCAAACTGCAGGTGTCTAGCAGCAGTAGTTTATTTTCAGTTTCAGTTCAAGTAGTGAGTTGAGTTGAACCGGATTGTAGGGCGACGGAAGCCAACGACTACTCGGGAATCGGAAAGAGAACAAAAACGGGATAGTAGGGAACTAACAACGGGCGCAATAGATGAGACGAGACAAAGCAATGCGAGTCTTGCGGCTCGAGCCGAGGGCGGATCACTAGCAATGTCTGGTAACGAGCCTGGACCAAGAACAACGGAGGAGGTATTTGTCGGGAACGCAGTAAATCAGACAAATACGTCGCGAGCGAAGCCCACAGGACTGAACTTGGGCCGATTGTTGCGAAAACGGGAAAGCCACTCAGGAGCTCTCGAATGACTCCTGGCTATCCAGAATCGGATATAGCGAAGCGGAGATACGGGATCAAAACCTGGAGGGACTGCTTCCAGGTTCAAGATCGTAAGGTACATGGAATGGCCCGTCTCCGAAAACCTCATCCATGGTGCGTCGTGGGAAGGAAGCATGGTCCACGGTCTGTAGGGATTTGCGAGTGGTCAGTTGCGCATTGTTGTAGCAATACACGGTCTGCCCCCACCTCCCGCGTCGTTCTAGCTGCAAGAATGCAATTACACTGTGTATGCAAATCCAAGGGGATTGGTGGCAAAAGTTTAGAAGTATGTGCATTTTTCCATAGCAAAAGAATTTAGGAATATAGGTTGTGCCAAAGTTCGTGAATGATGATGACAATGACGCGGCAAATGCTGATCAACAGCTATTAGTTTTCAATATGGGAGTTCAGTTACCCATTTCAGCGATGTTGCTTAGCTCCGAGCAAAGGGTAAATCATCTTCACGTTTGACTGTGGTAAGGTCACAATAAATAAACTTTTGCTCTCGATAATAAGGATAAACCATATAACGTGGTGCGGATACTTAGAAAATCGGTTAGATATAATGCAGCGCGCAATTCATGAATTTTTGGGGTACAAAGTCACCCAAACACTTGCCCCGAGCACGAATACTCTGCACATGATGCGAGCTTAGATACACAGGGAAGAGATAATGATCTAGTGGCACAAACATCTGAATTAATCTCAATGGGATTTCACGAGAAATTTCAATTCACAAGTTCCCCGATAGTCTCAATTTTACAGTAGGACAACTATTGAACTGATGAGATATCTTTGATCGCAAATGTTGTGGGGTAGAAGTATCGCAGCATCGGCAGTGACAGCAATACCTGATGTAAGAGAAACACTACATCATGTATTTCTTACTGGTGGTACTTTACTGAGGGCAATGCAATGGTTTGAAAACCAATACCATGGGTAGGCATAGAACCTCCGCCGATCGATTAAAGTACAGCTTCGCCGATGGGATTGATAAATCCGGTGACTTCGGCAGGTTACTGGTAAGTAGTGGGGGATTTACCGGGTTTTTTGTAAAGATATGTCGCAGTTAGACTCAAACAGCCACCATACATCCAGAAAAGCGCTTTCCTGGATGTGTGGTGGCTGTCTGTCTGAGTCCCACTGTTACGAATCTTCACAAAGAGTTCGGCAGGTGGCTGCAATGGCATACAGCTGCAGAAACATGGGCCGACAGGTACCCTGCAGAAGGCAAATTCGTTTGTGGATATCCCAAGATGTTTGGCGCTGAAGGTGGACAGGCATCGACTGATGGTCTTCAGGTCCCCTGGTAATAGAGTAGCTGGCCCAAAATGGATAATGAAACGAGAAAGTAGCATATTTCATTGCAAATGACGGCCAAGATGTTACCTCGTATGCGTTCATTCAGTGTACAGCCAGGTGGAAAACGGCTGTCGCACTGAAGATGCCGATAATGATAGCGAAGCTTCAGAGCATCTGGGATATTGTTTTCGTGTATCCCGTTAGTGACTCCGGATGACGAGTGAGAATAAGTTGGCCGTGAACAAATGGATGGAAGTAAATGCACAATTAACCCACTAAAGAATTGCTGTACGATAGAAAATGTTTGATCAAAAGTTGTTGCACACTTCGAACGTGGTCCAAGTGTTCGGAATGACTAAGGTATAGGTTACGGTAAATCGTGATCCGATTTGTGACTGTCTGTCGTGGGTACTTTGAAACCCAAAAATTCACCACCTGTTTTTTTTAATTCCCATCAGGTTAACCCGATTCATCAAAGCCAGAAAGTACGTGCTCAAAGATGCATACAAACAGTTGGCGGCCGCAATCGAGTGGCGCAGGGAGTATCGACCTAATCAAGTGGAGTGCATTTGGTGCGCAGAGCAACCAGGATACCATGGGATCGTAAGTTCTTAATCACACACGCGTGTGGCAATTCGAATGGACTGGCCAGAGTTCTGTGTCTAAGTTAAGCATATGCAAGCGTGCTACAAAGATAAGGCGGATTTTTCTCATGGGTCTCCGTCGCACTGATGTGTAAGCAAATAGGCAACAGTTTCAAGGAGCTTAGAAACGCGGAAGCCGGTTAAATGGTATGAAAGCGTAACGAGTCATGCCAAGTTGATCGGAAGCACGTGGAGGCAAGGACGTCGTGGTTCATATTAAAAAGTTAGGAAGAAGCGATACCGTTCTCGATGTGAACTCTTATCTAAACGCTGCTCCAGTTGTAATGTTGACACATCTAAGTGTGGACGCATTTAACACTAGAATGGTAAACAAGGGTTAAAAGGTTAGAGGTCACAGTGGAAAACACTGAGGAAATGGTTGAGCCATTTTGCCAGGGCACATTAGCACAGTTTGCAGTCACGAATGAGAAACTGAGAATTCACACCGGATATTCACACAGGAATAGTCTCTGGACATGCGACATTTAGAAGGAAAACGATGTCAAAAAGAAAACTGATTACCAGCAGAATAGTTGGGCGAACTACATTCTCAAATGAGGACGGGCTCTGTAGTAGAAAGCAACCATGACCAAAATTCAAGGAAGATCACGGCACGGCATGTCAAAGAATGGCACCTTATAAATGATCACCGTGACCAGTTAAATGCTTAGGATTCAAACCGACTATATACGTATGGCCAAGGGCGAAATTCACCAAAATGACCAGTTGCCAGTAGTGGAGTGCTAAAGTGTTTGGACAGTTGCAAGAGTACTCTCACATGGTTAAACCGCTGTCATTTCATTAAAACCGATGTGCGACGGGGAAATTATATAAACAACACACTTAGGGAGTGTGAAAGAAGCTGATCCCAGGCAGGATCATCATCAGCATCATCAATACACGTTAGCCGATGGTGAGAAACACTTCAGCCAATGTGGCGCAATACAGAAAAAGGGAGACATTAAGCAATGAAGACTTAATAGCTATAAAAAGTAACATAATACTAATATTAGATTTTTGATAGTTTTTGGAGGGGAAGCTAAAGAGAAGGGGACGGACTAAAAGACTCACAACACAAACGCCACTGAGGTCGACTCTTCGCCGTCAGCCAGTGTATCCAACCAAACGTGTCCATCATCCTTCGGTCCTAAGCCAAGCAGTCGGGAAACATCAACGAACGCCAACTTTGAAGTGAGGGATTTCATTCCTCTCGAGCAAGTCATCGCTTGATCTCTCTTTCTCTTCCTCCATCCACACGCTCGGCGAGCAAACAACGCGCGTCGTGTGAGTCAGTGGGCTGACACGTGCAACACGTGGCCCAGCCATCGGAGCCTGGTGCGCGATATAATGGTGCTGAGCGGTTCACTCGCTCTTACTGCACCAAATACGCGATGCTGAAAACACGCATTGCTCACGCGGTGCTCTTACCAGACATGTGCTAAGCTGCGAAAGCAGCGCTGATCGAACGTAGATAGACCCGTTATGACCGTCGACTGGATGGGTCAAGTTTCGTAACCGCACAGGAGGATTTTACGGAAGACTGCACTGTAAACTCTGCCCTTCAGAGCGAGGATAATGTCATGCAGGCGCCGCGGCGGAGATTACGGTTCATGACCTCATCTTCAATCCCACAGCCGCTGATATAGCTGCCCAGATACTTGAATTTTGCGACGCCTAAAATATCACTGACAAAGGTTAGTGCAGGAGTGGGTCCACGCCAATCTTCGAGAAAAACTTTGCATTTCGATAGTGCAAAGCATAGCCCAAAACGACTGACAGCTAGGGCTAATTTATCCAATCCAGCTTGTAAAGTTCGGGGACTGTCACAGATGAGCGCAATGTCGTCGGCATACTCCAAGTGGAGAAACTGTTGACCAGAGAACAGTTACACAACTCGTGTACAGCGAATACCGTTTGCATGACTTCGTCAATGGCAAAGAGGAAAGGTGAAAGCGGGCAACCTTGTCTCACACCGATAGAGACAGTGAAAGGCGGCGACAGCTTGCCGTAAACCCTCACTATGCCCGAGGTACACGCGTATAGCGCTCGGATATTATTAACATATTTCTCAGGCACACTTTTCCTGAGTAGACCGTCCAAAAGGGCAGATCGATCAACCAAATTAAAAGCCCCTTTGATGTCTAGGAACACGACTACGGTGGGTCGCCGGTAAACATGGTGGTGCACCAACAACTCTTAATGTGAAGGTGTGGTCAATACAGCCTCGATTTCGATGAAACCCGGCCTGCTCCTCGCGCATCTCGATTTCATGAGTGCCAGTCAGTTTATGGAGGACAGGCTCAAGTAACTCAGAGGCAATGGAGATCAGACTGATTCCTCTATGACTGCCTAATTCGGAACGGGAGCCTCCATTGAAAATCGGAGCTAGTACCGAACGCCTCCAGTCCGTCAAGACAGTCTCCTGCTCACATAGCTTCACTAGTAAAATATGTAAATCGTCCAAAAAAGCAAGTCCGCCAAATTTGAAGATGGCTGGATAAAGTTTATCTGCTCCGGCGGTCTTGTTCACTTTCAGCCGTCTGATCTCACGTTCAATTTTTGCGCGTGGGGGCGCATTCAAGAGGACGGTCCAGGGAGTAGGATGCACATTGGTCGATAGAGAAACTGGTAACTCTAACTGATTAAACCGCTTCTCAAAGTGTTCGGCCCAACGCTTCAAGCGTCCTGACAGGCTGTGGATCGGTTGTCCACTCTCGTCCCACATCGTTTCGCTAACATCAGGTTTCCTGCTACGCGTTTCTCGTAACAAACGGAATAACTCCCGAAGGTTACCAAGGGCAGCGGCTGTTTCCATCTCCGAGGCACGATGAGTCCACCAGGCTTCGCGGTTTCTCTTCAGGCTAGCACATAGTTTCACCCTGGGAGCTTTGCGAGTCTCCTTGTATTCGCTTCCAGCCGGAACACGTCAGCGAGCATGCATAATTTCCAGAGTCTGCGTAGAGAATCAATGTCCAGGCTGGCAATTTGATTTACCACATGAAGACATTTCTGCAGCTAATAAGGTCTGGCGGATATGTGACTAGTAATTTGCAACGTTGTTCAATGGGCGCTTATTCAGCTCAGATACCAGCGCACTTTGATACGCATTCAGAACATCTGACTTCGCCAGCTGTCAAATATCCATGCGGTCACAGCGCCGTTGCGGACGTCCATCGGAATGCACTCGGAAGTCGGCGCAAACAAGTGGGTGCTCAGAGTCTACGCTCGTGCTCCAAATTGAGCGACAGTTTTGAACGCATCCACTCCAGTGGTAACTGATCCTAATGTGAGCGATTTGCGTCCATGGCTGGCCTGAGGCTGGTAAGCACCATGTCACCCTCATGAGGGTGCTGTGTCGAAAGTTAGCGCTCGCAAGAAAAAGACGGGCATCTTCACACAGGTGTACCAACCGCTCATCATTATCATTACGGTAGCTTACACCGTTTTGACCACCCAGATGAAACTCATCAGTGAACAGTTTCCAGATTTTGGGGCTTAAATCACCAACAATTACCACAGTATCCGAACTACTGTTGTGACAGAAGTGGTCTTTCACTGGATCAGCGCTACAATTTGTGGGCGCATGGGCCGCAAGAACAAACAAGCACCGTTTTCCCCCACGCAACCTCGATGCTTTGAACGAGCCAGGCAATCTGACAGCGCACATCCGGCTGTAAATTTGGATCCAATCGATCAAGGCAGATTCAGCTAGGGGGCTAAGAGCAATGCCCTCACCGGCATTTGAAGCCGCGTCATCTTCGGACAAACGAAATGAGAAAATACTGCCAGTGTCGCAAGTTGGGGATCGCAGGCTAATCACAGAACTCGAATCTTGCAGGCGAGTTTCTGGCAAGCAGCAGGCATCGATTGCTAATCTTCAGTTTCCGGTCAACTGCTGCCTGTTGGCCAGTTTGCAACAAAGAGCACATATTGAGTCATGCCAGTCATAGACTCGAGGATTCCAGATGGAAACAAATGAACTGAGGTTGTCCGTTTGGCTGGACACGAACTTATCGATTGGACTGGAGCGACGCCCTGCAATTGTGTGTGAGTCGAAATTAGAAGAGGAACGATTACTGGACAAAGAGGGAGATGGCCAAGAATTAGGGGATTGAAAGCAGGGGGATAAAACTGAAGTTGAAACGGGACGATAAGGACAATAAATCGTAAGAGAGGGATAAGAAAACGGGATGGGTTGAGCAGTAGCATCCAAACCCCTATCCACACTGCTCGATGCAGCAGATAGGGCACCGTTGATTATCCTCTGCGGTGGTCAGAGCAACAAGAAATTGTGTGAAGAGCAATTCATTGTATTGCGTAGGCAGGATACTGTCAGGTTGTCCAGGCCTAGACAGGAGAGGGATTAGGGTTCTCAGCCAAAGCCTTTGGTTCAAAAACCTGACCGCAAGGCAGCACTGGACTACAAAGAGCCTGCGTTCTGGAGCAAGGAGTCACCCTCACCCCAACCCCAACCTGGAGGGCCAGGAGACTGTGTCTGTGCCTCCAACCGTTGACTAATCTGGCATGAGTGGCTCTGAAGGTGCAAAAGCATCACCCAGCATAGCTCATCAGATCACTGAGGCATGCAAACCATCGCACCGCGTTAAGGTCCAGTCTCGTCGCGATGGCCACGCAGGATCAGATCCGATTACATACGGATGTGCATATAGATAGATTAATATGTGCGAAGAATCAAACCTCCGAAGTAAAGTTGTGGCGCTGTTGATTACTAGCATCAAAACATCCATTCCCAAACCCAGATTCATCTAGTGAAAAGCAATCGCATGATCTTCCGAAAATCGATACCAATGAGCCCCTGACTGAAAGACCCCGATTACTGAGCAGATCCGGGTCTCAGAGTAGTGTTGCTTGAGAGATATGGAGATGAATTTCGGTATCACAACCGACTCGCGTGGGAATATGAACAACGAATGTCCCATAGGAGAGGGATTCGCATCAGCGTAGGTTGACAGTCACCGGGGGAGCCCCGTTTAACACTAGTATTCAAATAACAAACAAAGTGACCGTGCCACCTAGTAGTAAAATGTGGGAACAACTCGTGTGAATCGGGATGGGAATAGAGTACTCGATTTCAGGAAGAGCCCGTCCTTTTGAAGAGTACGATTTATTAAGCGATATTAAATCAGTAACCAGACATCAGGTATGCCACTCGAATGCTTCGTTTTATTGGCACCACATCTCCATAAGTGATGACGGTAGAAGGAAATGGCTAATTGACTGCAGGTCCCACATGAAGCCCACGAAAAATGAGGCCATGCGCCTGACGCTGGATTAGTTACATAGTCGGTCGGGCCACTGCGCTACTGCGACGATATTTATCAGCTACACGAGGATTACCAAGACGAAAGTGCTCAAACAGATTGATGCCGGAAACTTCTACTTATGAAGTGTGGGTCGTTCGCGGCAGTAGTATCAGTGAGACAAGACGGACCTGTGTGGAATCGCAAACCAGACAGTGTCAGGGAAAAGCGTCAACAGTACAATTGTGCTTAGTACCGACGCCTCGTGACCACCACCAAACGCTATCGAGCTAGCGATACTACGAGATTGACCGCATTTGTGCAGCTTCCAACCGGTGACCTGTGGATGACAAAGCAAACGCCTCGTCCCATTCGGCTAAGAGTTCACAGTCAGCCAATCTTAGAGCATGCATGTCAACTCAAAACCCAAAAGGCACACATGAACAACAAACCGCAGTAATGCCACCATAGCTGCGTCTCACAAACAAACCAGACTATTGGGCCGAATCGCAAGTGACTAGGACGCCGCACAACCGAACTATGTTGACAATGAGGGGCAATAGGTGACGTTGTTCCGTATGTGTACCCGATACTATAACGACAGAGTTATACAGATGCTCTCTTTTCAGTATTGGCAGTCTCTAGTACAGCAATAATACACTTGCTAACCGATACAATTATTCTTTTTCATCGTCCCATTACACTCACAGCGTCAAGTGGGGTTCGATTCGGAACAAAGGACAGTGATGTACGCGTGTTTCGCCCAATGCCATACCAACAAAAACACCGCCGAGGACGTGATTGCCCACGTGCTCTACCTAGTGGAAAACGCTATACGCTGTTCAGAAGCTTTGGCAGATGAATTAGTCATTGTGGTGGACTGCACAGGTGAGTGATTCGCTGGCTAGCAATCGAGAGAGCTAATGAGCCTTTTTAAGACTAACAGAAGCTTAGATTTGTCGGTGACAAGCTCCCGACTTCAGTAATAGTGTTGATTGCGAATGAATCAGCCTTTAACATTACGTCCAGCGCACATCGATGGTATACAGTTAAACAGCTGCTCAGAGTAAGATTTGGGCAATAAAATTTATGAAATCCCATCGAGATATCATTGTCATAAGTCAATGGGATAACAAAATCTGAAGTGAAACCAACGATAATAGGCAAACTGCGTAGACGAAAAATGAAAAAAATATTATTGTAGATAATTAGGAAACTGTGTCTAACGGGAAACATCCAGTTTCTCGTGGATTTGCATGGATCTATTATGTCCTGTGGATAAGTACAGTGAGAAAATAGGTGAAGCCAGTAGTGTCTATTTGTCGATCAATATTTGACTCAATGAGACAAGACGCGCGTAGTTCGCATGAGACCAGAACAGTTGCACAATTCAAAATGCGTTTCTTTTCTCCATGTCAGGTTTCAGCTTGCCATGCTGCAATCCAAAAATTGGCAAGCAATTTGTCCAAACATTCGCCAACAACTACCCCGAACACTTAAATCGTTTCTACTTGATAAACCACAACCCGATACTACAAGGAGTATGGAAGACGATTAAAGTGTTTGTCGATCCGAATACGGCGAAAAAAGTGAAGCTGGTTAAGAAGGAGAGATTAGAGTCAATATTCGAAGAACGCTTCGGAACCGAATTAGCTGCTTGGTTGAGAGAAGAGATACGGCTGAACAGGACATCGATTAGCGAGGCCCAACTGCGATTCTGGCAAGCACCGCAAGACCCTGGAGTCCATGATCCACGAGGAGCACCGAGTTACGTGAGGAAATACATCGAACCGCTAGAACAACGCCGGAAGCAAATCCCGAATGAGTTGTTGAAACTTTCCGTTTTGGGCCGAAACGTCCACATGCCCCACCCCAACATTATAAACGAACTGAATGGTCAGCTGAAGGATTATAAACTTGTTGGTTCGAGAAATCAGAAGCAGAATTTGACCAAGGAAGAATTAGAAGAGTACGGTGTCTGTCTCACAAATCAGATGAGCTGCGACGATGATGACGACGACAGCACAAGCACCGGAACAAGCCCCAACTCGCGAAACTCCCCTTAACAGTCGAACGCTCAAACCGTGATCTCCAATGCAGCCGTCTCGGCAATAAAGATGTGAATATCAAGTTTGCCTTCGATATACTTGAGTTTTTAGCAGGAAAATCCATTCAATCATGTAGTATTGCGTGATGTGGCTGAGAATTTGTACGGCGCACGACGTGCGAGTTCGGCGATAGCCAAGCGAGTAAGCCATCGATAAAAGTACAGGTTGCTACATGCAGTTACTTTCTTTAAAAAAATCAATCGAACTCGATGTGACTTCTAAGTGCGGTAAGCTGTAGTCGTCTGAGTTGGCTTATAAAAACATGACGGTTGGTAGTTAGGAGACAACTCTGTACGGCTCAGTTAGAGAAAAGTCGCTGATTCCACCCTCGTGGGACTTCGGTTAAGATGCGCTCAGCATCGTCGCTATTTTAAAAGTGTGGTAACCCTCTGGTTGAGCCTGGTTGCGAAGGCTGTCTCCAAAACCTGCAACTACTTCTTACCACCATGTGACTGCAAGCCCACACGTAACCACTTGTCACGCATGCGATCTGTAGACGAGGAAGAGAGAAGAAATTCCGGGAGACGATACGAAAAGCGGATTTAATCACACAGCCTAACGTACCACCTGGTGACTTAACATAATGGTGACAGAAAGTGACGAAAACTATCAGAAACGCAGGAAAAATACGTGCTCCATAACGGAGTAAGCCGCTTGACAACAAAATGTAACCTATATTTACACCATCTTCACAATCCATATCAGTTCGCTACAGTTAAGCAACAATTGTCCATGCACGGAAGTGAACTGGATCCAAATGTCATGATACAAGTTACTTAAAATTACTAAAACAAGTGGAAACATGCCGCAAGGAGAATGAATCAGTGATTTTAGGTTTTTGAATACAAATCGGCTTTTGCAGGTTTTTAGTGTGGTAACGTTTCGCAAGAGCTTCTTCAAGCCAAGTGAATCGGTACACAATTGGCTTAGCTTTCAATGAGTAATAATAATAATAATAATAACGTCACATGTCAATTGGCCATTCTAGAATAACAATAAGCATAGAGTGTACCCCATTGATCCGCATCACCGGTTGTTCACAAGTGAGGCATTCCTGTTCCTGCTGATTCACGCCCTGACCTGAGTTCCTTCGCCGCCTTTTTTGAATGACCGGATTAAGAGTGCCCGCCACGCGTTTGATAACTCCACAAATATCCAATGCAAAACGTCTACTTTCCTCAGCAATTATCCAAGTTGGCTTACAGTGTCATCGAATGGTGGTGGGGTTTCATAACGAAAACCGTGGTTCTGTGTACTAACCTCGTGTTAATGGCAGTGGAAGATCAGTACCGTAGCTGATTACTTAGTCACGGTGTGGGCCGCTCATCGGCCGTGGACCAGTGCACCGACTCGACAGTGAAGAGTTTCAGGTTGCAATTTCCCACCAGAGAGACGGAAAGAACGACATGATCGGCTAGTATATTTTCTAGTGAGCAGTGACCGACTGAATGTACCTGTGACGAATCTCTTTCGAATCAGCACATGGAATAATTAAGAATGGGAAATGAGATCACGCAAGGGAGAGGGGCATTATAGTAATTACTACTTCACAGCACTGCGTTGCTGTATTGTGGTCATTGTTAGGACTACATGCCGTACATAATATAGTCAGGATGCTAAAAACCAGGCAAAACGACTAAGATCTTCAATCGAAGTCACCAATGCAAGATAGAGGAAAGTTAGTGACGATCTACATATTTTCCATATGGGTGGACGCCACTCCAGGTCCGAGCAGAAGAATCACAGCATAACCCTGACCATAGAGAACGCCGATAAAATCGACCCAGTGTGCCATAAGGTGGTACTAATCGGCAGAGGGCAATTAGTTTAAAAAATATATACAAACGGTCTGCTTATGTTAAAGCTCATTCTGCATTGTGTCGAACTACGAGCTCTTGCCTACACAAGTACCAGATCGTGTTGGGGTGGTAGGTTCCATCAGTGATAACGTGGGAGAGATAGTAGATGCAAACCCAGAGACAGAGTGGAATGCTACCAGCAGAAGAACCCAAACAAACAATGATCGGAATAATGACCTAGTGAGTACAAAGGTACTCGATCAGGGATTCAGTTAGGAAGTCAGCAATCGGTAGACGCCAACCATAGTGCCCTAAATTAACCGGTCAAAGGGATGTTGATATCAGACGGTGTGGACAACTACAATAGACTAATCAGCAGCCAAGGATTGCTACTGACCCGATAACTCTCAAATCACCCTGAACTCCGTAGAGCACTTTAGACCATCCGAGAAATGGCATACATAGACAACTGGCTATGAGAGTGCACAATTCAATTAAGCTGCTGTGGTTGCGGTTACTCAATTTATGGCTTCATTCAACACGAGCCGCAACACCGAATAGATGGGAAGTAGGGGAGTCCCGGGTTCGAAATGAACAAAAGTGGAACAGTTATAGACAAAAGTTTAGATTAAAAATAATTTACACTTGAAGTATACACGAATGGAAAGCTAACACAGGAATCAAAGTGAAATCAGATCAGCATCATCACAGTTCATGGGAGAAACAGAACACCAAGAAGTACAGCGTCTGTGCAATCGTTTCATTCAAAAGCAATGAACAGGCTTGCCGAGGGGCAATAAATGCATCTCTCGATGCCTGCTCGTCCGTGGGACGAGCAGTCTACCTGAGCGGGGGAAAACAGGTCACGGAGAAAGTTTAGGGTACACCATTCTCAGTAGGGGATATGCAAGTCGAAAACCAGGTAATTTCTTTCCAGTGACTTGGTCCCGGTTGATTTAAGTATTCATCTGCTTGGAGAATATCGTCTCGAATGCATTCAATAAGATCAGCTGGAAAGTAAGGACAAACGTAACTGTTAGTTGGTTGAAATGAGACACTCAAACAACGAGGTGCTTTTGCTAGCGTTTCAAATTTTTCCCTACACTGCAATTAAACCTTGCAGAGATTCTCCAGTGAGTTCATACAACGAGGTTGGGGAGGGGGTGGGTGCGAGTACTGCAAAAAGTCTACTGGGCGTATCCCAAAGTGGGAAGAAGTAGGCGGACCACGGGTGTGGGTTATGTTGATCCTCTGAAAAAATGAAATAACTGTGCAATTAAGCAGAAGATACAAAGCAAATTGGTGGTTCAGCCAACATTTGGGGATATGCAATTTCCAGCGTCACGCCTACAGTGCGTCACAATCAGAACGCAATAAAATAAAGTACTGTACGACAATTTTATCCCATCCAACCTCAAGAACATAACACATTGCACCCCAGTTCTGATGGATTCTAATGCACGATGTACAGTCACCAACTGACGCCACTAAAGCGTGGACGGTAGTGGTGAATTAAGTGACAGTCACTAACTATGATATACTGCGTCTCACCTCTGGTGGTCATGAAAGTCACTCGTTTCGATTTGATTACCGATCGCCCGGAGTGCGAATTCATGGAACACGCAGGTAAAATTAGATTCAACGATAACAAAAAAGCACTGGTCTAAGGTTGCACCAAATTCACTAAATGGAATCAGTTCCCCAACCTCGTTTACAAATAACTAAAAACGGATCCTGTGATACAAATGAGTCAGGCAAATATATATACCATTTTCACTTTAAACTGGACATTTTTCAAACCAAACTGGACATTTTGCAAACCAAAGTGGACATTTTGCAAACCAAAGTGGACATTTTGCAAACCAAAGTGGACATTTTGCAAACCAATGACATTAAGGGACATTTTGCAAACCAAACTGGATATTTTGCAAAACAAATTGGACACGTTGCAATCTAAGTAGCAACTCGCCAATTTGTTGGTAAGAAACGAGCAGTAAGACTGCTGAATGATGTTCAGAATATGCATTGTGATGACGCTAATACACCGGCATTGTGTAAGCAGCGGGCTACACTGTAAAACATTTGCTTGATCGTGAGCAGCGACCGAAGTTCTGAACTACGCTCCCCTCTCCCCATTGACATTCGCCTAGTTGGTGTGCAGTGCCCATACGCATCAACCTGTGTAGGTGTGTGACAATTGGAAAATCGGACTTCCGAATCGTAATTCTGTATCAATCATTTTGTGAGTGGATTGCGATGCGCAATCTCAATGTGCACCGTTATTCTCATTAGAGAGAACCTTGTCCGATTCGGTCAATGGGACCATGTCGGATGAAGCAGGTAGGCGGTGTCCCAGCTTCACACGTCTCTCTATTAGCTTTCGCAACTGCCACGTTATTGTATCAGCGTAGGCTGTAATGACCCCCAGCAAATCCAGTCTAGATCTATAGCCTATTGTTGCAACATATCAACTACTGAGGAGTGGGCCGATTACACGATGTTCAGGCCACATTGTGGTCACGATAATGTAACCGAACTGCGTACGTAGCGGGTGATTGTGTAAGCCCTTCTCTTGACATGAGTGCCGTTCGCTTCGGTCAAAATCGGTGACCTATTTTCCCCTACACCCCCCTCCCCCATAGGAATTCGTGTGTTTTGTCTGAGTGTGTGGACTGACCTATGCAGCGGTACCACTATTGGAGCCGAGCATACGATAATGGTTCCACTCAACCCAACTTAGCTTTATTAGCTCCGTGCCGCACGAAACGACCAAAATGAGTGACGAACAACAGGAGAGCTGGTGTCCGACGCGACGGCACTGCAGGCGAACATCATTTGCGCAAAGAGAAATTCTCACAAAACTTGTGCTGGTCGACGGCAAAACTACTCGGGAAGCCGCTGAAGTCGCCGGTGTTAACGCGAGTACGGCAAGGAACATCATTAATGCCTACAAGCGAGAAGGCTCAAATACACAGCGCACCTGCGGTGGAAACAATAGGGAGAAGCTGACTCCCAATGTATTGCAGCGTGTCGAAGAAGCGGTTGAGCGGCACTCTGAGGACACGTTGGTGCAGCTGCAGATGCGCCTGAGAGAGGATGGGATAAACCTATCAGTATCCTCTGTCTTCAACGCCCTCAGAAGACTAAAGATAACTCTCAAAAAGTGTCATTACGAGCTCGACCGAGTCAACGGTGCCACGACAATCGCTAGCCGACAGGCGTACGCTCTCGATTTCTCGGCACATGCACCTTCTAACAAGGAGAAATGCATCTTCATAGATGAGAGTGTTTCAACCTTCATCTGAGGCGAACTCAGGCTCGCTCAAAAAGAGCGACGCGCGCGAACGCCGTGTTACCCACAGTCAGAGGTCGCATGGAAACCCTGATTGTTGCAATGAATAACCAAGGCGTCATCCATTCAAAGATCATTAACGATGGCACCTGCAATGGTGCAAAGTTCTCAGCGTTCGTCGAGGAACTGGTGACGCGTATAAGCTGCATAGTGGAGATGAACGGCGCGTGGCTGATCATGGACAATGCCAGGATCCATATGCCTGATGAGCTAAGGAGGATCCTTGGTTCGTCTTATCACCTGCAGTTCTTGCCGCCCTACTCGTACATGCTAAACCCGGTAGAACACGTCTTTTCAAAGGTGAAAGCGTCGGCGAGACGCCTGCTTATTAACCCCACACCTGAGCAGACGCTGAGCACGGTCATTCAGGACAGCGTTGGGATGGTAACGCAGCCGGACTGCATGAACTGCGTTCTCAATACAATAATGAACCTGACGAAAGGGACAGCCGGACAACCCTTCGTCAACTGATCTTTGCTATGGTTACTGCCTTATTTTTTGTTAACACACCATTTCAATTTCAAAATGTGCGTTTTCAATATTAACAGTTGGCTTAGCGTGTAAGAGCAGGACGGTCACCGAGAATTCGAGAGCGTACGCCTGTCGGCTAGCGATTGTCGTGGCACCGTTGACTCGGTCGAGCTCGTAATGACACTTTTTGAGAGTTATCTTTAGTCTTCTGAGGGCGTTGAAGACAGAGGATACTGATAGGTTTATCCCATCCTCTCTCAGGCGCATCTGCAGCTGCACCAACGTGTCCTCAGAGTGCCGCTCAACCGCTTCTTCGACACGCTGCAATACATTGGGAGTCAGCTTCTCCCTATTGTTTCCACCGCAGGTGCGCTGTGTATTTGAGCCTTCTCGCTTGTAGGCATTAATGATGTTCCTTGCCGTACTCGCGTTAACACCGGCGACTTCAGCGGCTTCCCGAGTAGTTTTGCCGTCGACCAGCACAAGTTTTGTGAGAATTTCTCTTTGCGCAAATGATGTTCGCCTGCAGTGCCGTCGCGTCGGACACCAGCTCTCCTGTTGTTCGTCACTCATTTTGGTCGTTTCGTGCGGCACGGAGCTAATAAAGCTAAGTTGGGTTGAGTGGAACCATTATCGTATGCTCGGCTCCAATAGTGGTACCGCTGCATAGGTCAGTCCACACACTCAGACAAAACACACGATTTCCTATGGGGGAGGGGGGTGTAGGGGAAAATAGGTCACCGATTTTGACCGAAGCGAACGGCACTCATGTCAAGAGAAGGGCTTACACAATCACCCGCTACGTACGCAGTTCGGTTACATTATCGTGACCACAATGTGGCCTGAACATCGTGTAATCGGCCCACTCCTCAGTAGTTGATATGTTGCAACAATAGGCTATAGATCTAGACTGGATTTGCTGGGGGTCATTACAGCCTACGCTGATACAATAACGTGGCAGTTGCGAAAGCTAATAGAGAGACGGGTGAAGCTGGGACACCGCCTACCTGCTTCATCCGACATGGTCCCATTGACCGAATCGGACAAGGTTCTCTCTAATGAGAATAACGGTGCACATTGAGATTGCGCATCGCAATCCACTCACAAAATGATTGATACACAATTACGATTTGGAAGTCCGATTTTCCAATTGTCACACACCTACACAGGTTGATGCGTATGGGCACTGCACACCAACTAGGCGAATGTCAATGGGGAGAGGGGAGCGTAGTTCAGAACTTCGGTCGCTGCTCACGATCAAGCAAATGTTTTACAGTGTAGCCCGCTGCTTACACAATGCCGGTGTATTAGCGTCATCACAATGCATATTCTGAACATCATTCAGCAGTCTTACTGCTCGTTTCTTACCAACAAATTGGCGAGTTGCTACTTAGATTGCAACGTGTCCAATTTGTTTTGCAAAATATCCAGTTTGGTTTGCAAAATGTCCAATGTGATTTGCAAAATGTCCACTTTGGTTTGCAAAATGTCCAGTTTGGTTTGAAAAAAGTCCACTTTGGTTTGCAAAATGTCCACTTTGGTTTGCAAAATGTCCAGTTTGGTTTGAAAAATGTCCAGTTTAAAGTGAAAATGGTATATCTCAACGGGTTTGCTGACGTGTTTGCAGTATGGCGGACTGAAACTTGCTGGGACGTAAGTCAATAGCACGCAGCGCAATTCACAGTTTGGATGCAAAGTACAGCAAAAGTATGGAATGCAGATATGGAATGCGATGAGTCGGAAATGGACACCACCACAATTCGCGAAATTAAAGAGGGTCGACTTATTCATGGGCTACTGGAGAATAACTTATGCAGCACTATGAGAGGCTGATTTCAAAGGCAAAAAGAAGAAGCAATTAGGGATGCCTGAGTTCATAATGACCGGAATTCGTAGAAATAAAACGATGCGTATCCTAGAATCTAGTCACTAGATCCACCTCGCCTAGATCAAACGTTGCGATTGTAGAGGCTAACACAAGTTGAAAAAGCCGCTATTGTTGCTATCAATAGATCATCTGAGTGCTAAATAACGTCGAACCAGCCTGAGCAAATAATACGGATATCTAAGTATGCCTCGGTGATGTATGTTCCGTCGTGATGAGAAAGAGGTGAGTAGTCTCAACGGGCAACACCAAAGTGATCGTATTAGTGAGTAGTAGATTGCTGAGCAACTTACTGTAAACCGATCATTACACGTGCTGGCAAGTAATTGGGTCACGGACTAGCAGGATGCCAGAGGGGGCATGGTGGAGCTAAACACTCTGCTTGCATTACCGAAATGGAGGGAAGAGTCGCTTAAGAAGTAAAGGAAAATCTTCCAAGTGACTAGTTTAAAGGCACTGATAAAGAAAAATCTTCACAAAGGAAACCAATTACAGGGCATTAGCAATACGCCGGCACACACAGTACCGACGCTTCGTTGCCGCACAACCACCACCAGTCGCACGTAGGTTAAGTATACTGCGAATGTTCCCCGGTCCCTCAGCAGACTCGAACCAACGCCTTCGGATTACAACGCCGGCTTGTGATCATCCTTAAACCTCCAGGTCGTGACAAATAGCATATACGAACGAAACTACTTAGAGTGATTGGTTGTATGCACTGTGTCTCACATTGGAATAGTAGACCTGTGCAAAATCCTTGTTCAGTTCGGTTAGGTTCCGTTTAGCAAGTGTAGAGTGAAGTGGATCAGACTCTTGGAAGCCAGATCCCACAAAAAAGTTGAAACCAGTGAAACGGAACAAGCAAAAGAAACAGGGGATAGCTATTCAAATTTTAGTCACCGGTTAGATGTGTTGTGGAAAATTGTGGAAAGTAGTTCATATTCGACTCAGTTTCTTACAATAGTTCGTCTGACTATCTGTAAACAGCCGATGTTAGCGCAACCACATTGAAGCGACTTGATGCCAACTGATACTGTTGTAGTGGGACATAACAATCCGAATAACCAATGTTCCAGTCTTGCTGAAACGCGGTTCGTAATAAGAAAGGCCCAGCCCCGGCAGTACACCGGCTCGCGATACCGATGCTTCGCCGCCACGCAACCATCAGCAGTCGCGCGCGTGGTAGGGATACCACTATGCGGTCGACCATGCCTACGCAGATTCGAACCAGTGACTTGTGGATTACCATCGGCTACCGGCCGACAAAAGATGGTGCTGGCGCTTATGAAAATGATTTGGTTGATCCACATAGCCAATGTGATGACATACTAGCCGTGACTGGTACTTTCGTTTGAAATGTACGAAAAAGAAAATACTACTAATGCAGTACCGAGCCGACAAGATACCGACTGTCACTAGCGAACGCCAAGCCCAAGTGAGTAGTCATAACCGCGAAAATGAAGGGATACAGCTGTACCCCCAAGGCTTTACAGTCTAATAATGGCTTCAAGTAACGGAAGCTCGATGTCCGACGTAAAGTATTAAGTTGGGTGTGAGTCATAGAAGAAACAAAGAATTAACAAATCGTAGGGAATAACCTTAAACCTTCAAGCTCTGCGTTTAGGCCGGTGGGTTTGAGAACGGGGGAATTTTCAACTGCATCCTGTAACTGCCTTACTAAGTGAATCCCTTTTTGATATCACATACGGGATGAGACAAAACAGTACTCAACTCTAATTATCAACTCAACACTTCACGGGTCTTAGCCACCCGCCGGTGCAGCACATAACAGTGGCTTGCTAGGAGTCATTTCTGAAGGCCGTTCCGTTCACTCATAGTTTCAACTCCAATAGGGTAGAGAGGAGGAGGCATCGAATCAGTATCAAGATAAGCGTTAGACATGTAGGATTCACCATTGGCATCCGTGAACGGCAGCCGCACACAGAACGTGTCTTCCTGGATGAGTTCGACGGATGTCGAATACATTAGCTGACAGAGGGTACAAAACGAGAGTAAGAGATAACGGCTGAGTGATCCGAACAAAAAGCGCGAAAGGTGGAACGTCAAGTGGAAAATCAGATCATAGGTTCCAGTTTCGTTGACGAAACGAACCGCGAAACCAGAAACGCTTTAAATTAAGTCAAACAGAGTTTAAAAAAGCATTTCCATTGGATAGTAAACAGAGCGAGAATAGAAAAATATGTTCTGTGATTGATAATATGCCCTGTGGTGGGAATGACTAATCGCACTAATCACACAGCTGAAGCAGGCCGCCAATCGGACGAGAGTAGAACATGTTTTGTCAATCGTAGTAGCAGACATGCTCATCTGACTACCAGGCAGGCGGAAGTGTTCATAACTGTTAAATACGCCCCAATCAGTTCTGTAGCCTTAGTTCGACTGCGTCAAAGTCAAAAAGGTCGCTCGCTTTCGTGCGTGATATTGCGCGCTGCATACACACAGAAACCATTGCTGTACTCGAGGTCAATGGGGCGTAGAGCCGTCAGAACAGAGACTTTCACCGCACCGGACACTGTATTGACCAGATCTCAAGTCCTATGAATCAGGAAAAACATCCGACATTATAAGGTGACAGTGTGCGTCAGAGAGGAGGCGGCCTGATGCATATGAATCACAGTACAACAGTGGGTGAGAGTGAAGTTCACGGTCAGGTGTGTGTGAGACGACACTGTACTTTTAAGGCACAAGATCGCCTGGTGTAACATCTCCCCCTTTGAAAACACATTCTCCAGACTCATACGAACGAAGTGCTGAGTTCACCTGTAAACGTCTGATCGGTTTAGTTGTTCACATAGGTATACGAGTGACTTCGTGGCATGGCTGTGTGCACGTTTCCGTCGGCTGACTAAGACCCACAGTTATGGTAGTTCAAACATGTCCAGCAGTATCTCGAACCGCAACTAGAAGTACAAGTGATTGTGTGTTGGATCCGTCGTTTTCCTAACTGATTAACGTGCCGAACGAGAGACAACAGTCCGACAGACACCTCGTACAGTGCAGTGCCTTTCCTTTTTCATACCACGACAAGTTTGGTGGTTCGGCCTTGTATAAAGCGCGTACATAGTCTCCAGTGGTAGAAAACTTCTGCTCACGCCTGACACAAGTGGCCGTTGCGTAACCTTAGGGCACACTGCATCAATTGGAAGACGTATCTCAGGCCCGATCATGGCTTTCGCCGGGGATCTGCCGGCTGGTACATTGGGGTTAGGCGTGGCCTGATGAGCTAAGAGGAAAAGCTGTATGTCGGTCCTACACCCCGCAGTTTTATTATTGAACGTTTGAAGGAATCCACGAGTCTTACTGCTTGCCCGTTGGACTGGGGATGCCCCGGAGGCGACCGGCCGTGCTTCATACCATAAACGCTGAGAGAAAGCACAAAAATCATCGGAGATAAATTGTGAACAGTTATCGGAAACCAAGGTGTCTGGTTAACCGAACTGTGTAAATAACTGTCGTAGTTTTCGTACTGTGGCCGCTGTCGTGGCTGTGTTCATCAGGTATACGTAACAACCACAATTAAAAACACTGGTCTCGCACTGGACCAGCGAAACCAACGTGAATTCTTTCGCAACGCTTAAAGGCTGGCATCCAGGGTTGGATGATTTTTCTTTGAAGTTTCGCTGTCAAGACACAATCGCTACATGTGGTGACACAATCATGGACAGCGTAGTTAAGATAAGGCCGGTATACGTAATTTCTGGCTAGAGCTTTCATCCGTGATATTACGGAGTGATGTAGGTGCAAATATCTTAATACCCTCGCCTGCAGGGAGTTCGGAATAACCACGCGCTCAGCAAACATAACACAATCACCAACCAGTGCTAACGAGTCACGTCGAGAATGAATTAATTTAAGCTGTGTCAGTAATCAGGCCTGGTGTTTAAAAAACGAGTAATACTTTGCAAAAAAGGGTCGAGTTTGGTGTGCGCCTGTATCACAGGGTTGCAAAGAGATCACTTTTCGGTAGTTCACATCAGGCAAATACAGCTACAGGACTAATAAATGCAACAGTAAGTTGATGAAGGCCAAAATGAGGACGGATGGGACGGTTTGAAGAGATTTAGCATTGTGTGAAGAGAACTACGTGCTGAGCACGAGCACCAACTTCAGGCATACGAAGAAACGTTCCGCAACTTAACGTCTTCCTTCGCTAATACAAATTGATCACATTGCAATAAGCTTCAGATGTCGTGGTAGCGTAAAGGGACTGAAAGCATTTTTGGCCCCTTTTCATTTACTGCTATCATGCGCTGGTCCAAGCGAAAATTTACGTGTTCTGGGGGTCGTTAAAAACGAAGCACCGCAAGATTGATGCAAACAGATTAACTGATTCCTCGGTTTAGGCAAGCTACCAGACTACACTGGCATACGCAATCCACCGCAAGACATAGAGCAAAATTGCACTCTTATACAGAAGGCGATGGCCAGTTCAGGACAGTCAAGCTGCGACCTTGTCCGACGCTCCTTAAAGCTTTGGGTCGCCGCTCGATCCTGCAGCTGTACAACCGTCGTAGTGATGTCCCGGCAGAATCAGATTGCAACGCGCGACGCTAATTTGCCTGCCAGCTGCTCAAACAAAACCTGTGCAAGGGTTGCGAGACCTGGTAGTCTGAGCATGCTTTAATCTTGGGGACCGTTGCCTTCTCTGGCAAAAATCACAAGCGTTACCGACTCATTCGGTTCATTGGCCTCAGGAAGCCTGGTGCCAGTGAGGCTATTTGCGAGACGGACGGGTCTGTGGTCACCAAACCATCAGAGGTGTTTGGACCGCTGGGCCGAAGAGCTCCATTCGCAATTCAACTGGTCTAACACCGTTCACTAGTGCATGCCGTACACCTTGTTGTCTATCTTGGCTCGTTCCGTTGGATCCACCAAGCGAAGCAGGTTTGTCTCAAGATTTGACGCTTGAAGCGATTCAAGGCTGCGGGCTACTGCAGTTAGGAGTCTTCTGTTCAATAATTCGAAGGCAACATCATCTTCAAAAAGTACGGAAATATAAACATCGTTTTCTGATATCATCCCAGTTGTTTCTAGTCAGGCACGGATCACAGATTGCCTCCGAATAAAGAGAGCAAGGTAACCACTATCCTGTAGCGTCCTAAGAATACGATCTTAATCGCTTTCCAAAGTTTTAGGACTACAAATTTTGTTTGCGCGATAATACAGGCAGTGAACTAAGTTCCGTTTGTACCTCAACGGAACAAAGCTCCGAAAAGGTGTATATTGGCCAATTCAGGTGGACTTTGCATAGACACTTCTATGGACAGAACCATCTTCTCGTCTACTTAGCAGTATAACCAGTATAACAATCGCTTTCGATTCCGCATGAAAACCTTAAAGACAGGTGCGCGCTATTGAATTGATCTAGCAGATGGGCTGTGCAAAGGTTTGAATCAGACATATATATATATATATATATATATATATATATATATATATATATATATATATATATATATATATATATATAATAAACGTATATTTCTCGAAATTGTTCTTAAGTTAGGAACAGATCAGTATGCACATAAATGATTATGCTCTGGCGTGAGTGCATGTTAACGCCAATTCTTAGCCCTTTAGATATCTTTTGGGCCATTCTGAAACAGTTCATCAAGTGAGTTGTCAGATCAGAACACAACTGATAACACTTCTAGATTTAAGAGTCCGTTGAGTGTGGAATTACGTGGGGTTGCACATGTCCTGACTGCGGTTGGTAGGCTGTTCCACAGGACATCGTATCTGACGAGGAAAAAGTTGGACCGCATTGATGTTCTAGCCCTTGGTATCTGTAGTGTAAATCTTTTGTTGTAGAGTCTGTGATGGTTAGTGTGTTTTATCTCTGTTATTTGGGTAAGAGTACGTTTTCTGAAGCAACAGATTGTGGAGGAGCATCAAGTTTTGTTTTAGACGTCGCAGCCAAAGGGTTGATGTGACCAGTCTGCAACGTTCACTATAGTTTAGAATGGATGTGCTGTTGAACAAATGTTTGGTGAATGACCTCTAACTTCTGCATGTTGCCATAGATAAAGTTGCGGTATTCGAGAACAGGACGAATGAGCTATAAATAATTCCAATCTGGCAAGGACTGTATGGATTTTGTGGCATGTTAGCCACGGACTATTTAGCCCGAGCTAGTTGGTATTGGACTTGTTCAGAAAAACTAAGTCGAAAGAATATCGGATTCCAAGATCACAAGTAAACTGCCGCATGGATACACTTTCCTCCAGAACATCTGTAGATAACCATCAAAACTATGTAAACGGATCTGAGTTCCTTTGAACTCAGGTCAAAAGAATGGTTAATTAAACTCTCCGGGCACAAGTCCCGCGAACTCTATCACATATGTAGCATTCCACCAGGAAGTTTAACTTTATATGGGGAACCAATCTCTATCACTCAGTCCATCCGTGACCTAGGCTTAAGCTACAATGAAATACGAGGCTGGTCAACTCACGCTTAACAATAGTTATCAAAGGCAAGACGTGCTTTTAAGTTTAATCAACAACACAATAGTCTTATCCAAAGCTAAGCTAGTTCTTTATTTGATTTGTGTACGCCCACTTTTGAAATACTGCCCATCATATAAAGTCATATGCGCAAGAGTGATCACTTATCACTGGAACGTCTGCAGCGGTCATTCACTAAAAGCCTCACGAGTGAATCGTCGCTAGCAACATATCACGATAGATGTAAATTACTGAGCATCGGTCCACCATGATTAGGAAAACTGAAGCTTAACTGTTTTCCTTTACAAACTGACACAACCTCAGCTTCAGCTCAAGCACACAGTTGAAGTTTAGAGACCGCCAGTCCATTAAGAGATGTTATTATAAAACCGAGCTAGTATTACTGCACCATGTTAGGAAGTTACTCTGCAAATCCGACCTGGACAAGCCAGACTCGAAAGTTACCGCCTCTTGTATCTACATTTTTTCATTGTACTTGCGGGAGCAAGTATGTGAGCCGAA